CCGCGTCCAGTGGGCAGGAGCCATTTGTGATTGGTCGTGCGCGGTAGCACACCTTTCTTCTTACATGAATCATGGTTGGAATCATTGGAATCATCTCGCGCGTTCCGCCTTCCGCCGTTCCGCGACAGAACGGAAGCGAGCGCATTTCCTTTGAGGTTAGCGTTGGCGCACGAGAGAGCGACATCCCGACGCCGATGTGAGAGCTCGCTACAAACTCGCGGTCATGGCGGTGCGCGTGCAATTCGAGAACAACAACGAGATCGGCGTCTTCTCCAAGCTGACCAACTCCTACTGCTTGGTCGCGATCGGCGGCTCGGAAAACTTTTACAGGTGAGAGAGTGACGTCACTCGCAATCGCTAAATCGCTAACGCAATCGCACGTAATCACCGACGTTCTCTCTCGTCAACCAACTTGGCTTATCGTTGACGCTTGACTAATTTCTCGCACGGCAAATGTAACATAACAACCTTGTTGATTGCAGTGTTTTCGAAGCGGAATTAGCAGAGACCATCCCGGTTATTCACGCATCAATGGCAGGATGCCGCATCATAGGTCGATTATGCGTCGGCAAGTATATTGAAACGTACCGAACTGTGTGCAATCGGGAGTGCAGCGAGAGAAAACGGAGCTAGAAATTGGAGCTTCTTTTCTCTCGCTGCACTCCCTTTGTTTGACCAACTTTGTCATTATTTATTATATATAATGACATGTAGGGACGTCTGAAAAGTAAGAAAACTACACTCGAGTGTTGTAGAGGAAATTTTGTTCAATTTCAATTGGCCAACATTGGCCATTTTCTATACATTTGTTGTTTTTTTAAAACGCTGTTTCACTAGCCAGGTTGATACTCCTCATCTGTCCCAAGATGAACCTTGAGGAAAGGGCTTTCTTCATTTCCTTCATTCCTCTGGAGGATGATCGTGGGTCATCATCAACACTCGTAACACCTCTTCTCCATAATCCTGCCTTTTCGAACCCTTTTACTTTGAGTAATAAAATACGGGAAGCTTACTTTTCAGACGTCCCTCGTACTTAGGTAGTTGAAAGATTTTCAATAATCTTGCCCCTTTAATCAATGTAGCGAACAAGAACGGATTGTTAGTACCAAATACAACAACGGATACCGAATTGCAACACATTCGAAACTCCTTACCCGATGACGTGAGGGTGCAGAGGGTGGAGGAGAGACTGTCTGCGCTCGGCAACGTCGTAGCATGTAACGATTACGTTGCCTTAGTTCATCCGGACCTTGATAAGGTAATTTCTTCTTCCCTTTATCTTGTGCTATATGCTCAAGAAATTGGCTTTTGCATCTCTGATTGAAGGAAACGGAAGAAATTTTGGCCGACACTCTGAATGTCGAGGTATTTAGACAAACTATCGCGAGCAACGTTCTTGTCGGCTCGTATTCCATTTTATCCAATCAAGGTGGCTTGGTGCATCCGAACATGCCTATTCAGGAGCAAGATGAGTTGTCTTCGCTTCTGCAGGTGCCGCTCGCGGTAAGACAAACGCGCTTTTCCATATGGTTACAAGTTCTATGCGCTCTTGACAATTGTATTCTAGACTGGGACGGTGAACAGAGGCAGCAACGTGATCGCCGCCGGAATGGTCGTAAACGACTGGGCTGCCTTCTGCGGCATGGACACTACCTCGACGGAGATTGCCCGTATCGAGAGCGTTTTCAAGCTTAACGAAGCTAATCCAACTCCCATTACATCGAGTATGCGCGCACCTTTTATAGAAAGGTAAAAGCATTCATTATTATATTTATTATTGCGAGCGTAATGACCAATTCTTCATCCTTTCAGTATGTCGGACTTGTAAAAAACGGACTTGTCCAGAGTACACCGGGAAAAGTATGTTGGAATATACATTATATGTACATAAAATTCAATATTTATGGCTTTTATGTATTCGTCAACATATCCAAGACAAACGCTTGTTCGCGCCTAATCCCGACACAAGATGGTGTGTGTATCCAGATTCTCTACGATTAAAATTTCTATGAAATATGGCGTTGGTTTTTGTTTAGATGTCGATACTCTCCGTTTGGAGACAAGATTATTACTGTCGTCAAATCATTTCCGACTCTAGCCTTATGCGGCATTAAAAGGCCAAAAACGTGTTGATAGAAATAATGTTTGTAACATTGTGACTGTACGAGCACCTATAAAGGGTTAGTAATCGAATATAATGACGTACAAAGAAGTGTATTCTATTGAAATATACTTTAATCAATATTCTCTTTGAATACAAACGCCATTTCAAAAATGTAAATCATTTCCATTCTGTTTACATAGCAAATAAACTATAAGAACATTGTATGGACTGGCCTGGTAATAAAATTGATTGTAAACAAAGTGGCCTAGCCCGGTTTGTGAATTTTTGATCGATAAGACTAGAGCAATGGTAGTTGTTCTGCGTGTAACAATTCGGTGGCTGCGGCGGAATCGGCACACATGACCAATGTAATGCCCGCTTGGTAAGAGGCCGGAATGCGAATGTGAGTCGCTCCAGTGGTCGTACCGTTAGGTTGCCTTTGGCTCATTGATTCTCGTACCATATTTACAACTTGCCCTGTATCACAAGTGAAATTGTTACGTCTCGACTGAAAAGCAACGCACAAAAGGAATTAATCGTGTACAACATACCAAGGACATTAAATTTTCGCCACTTTTGATCCATAGTCGCGAGCGGCATTAGATCTGTATTTGCGTTCCAATGCGCTAGAACGTCGGTTTTTCGTATCAATAAAATACTGGGGCTAACTAATTGATGCCACACGAGCTGAAATGATATTACAAGAATGAAAGGAAATTGTGCGATTACGCAGATTACTGGATCTGCAATTTCCATTACCTGTTCAGGCAAACATTCTAAAGGATTTGTCAAGTATATGCCAGCCTGTCCTACACCGAAAATCATCTGATGGTGCCATGCGTCCGGTATATCGCAACCTTCGCCGCAATGTTGCAAATTGAGTGTTGCGATTGGGGCAGCACCTGAAATGGAAAAATATTTAAAGAATGAATACCTATTGAAAATATTAAATCTCTCACCCCTGGAAATCCAGTAATGCAACCAGTGGGACAACGACACCTTCCTCTCTGGATAAAATGCAAAGAACTTTGTTACAGCTGCACCATTCGTCGACAGAGATATCCCTCGTGCTATATCTTTGTGAGTTGCTCCTGCTACCGAACGGCTGACGAGATACCTCGGTAGCGGTACACCCAGCTCTCTCAATCTCGTATTTACACCTTTCACTAATACTTCCAGGGAAAATGATATATTTAAGGCCAACTTAAAGGAGAAGAACAAGGTGTAAGTATAAATTGCAACTTGACTACATTCTCATACGCTTTAATATTACCAGAGCATTAATTGCGGATGTAGTACCACAGGCGGAGGTGCCGATTTGCGTAACTTGATTCACCGTCGCTTCCTGCTCACTCCACAGCATCACCTTTTCCACCGGCGGCAAGCCGTCTAGCCGTTCGTTAGACAATTCACTTTCCTGTTGGAATGTCGTGAAAAATTTAATAAGACAGGGCCTGCCTCTACCCCTTTTTCTATTTTATCTATTTAATAGTAAATATATTAACCAGATTGGAATCACCACTTTGATTAAACGCAGCATGCTTATTGAGCATTAGTTTCTTAGCCATTATTCGATGATAAAGCGTAGAAATGAGATTAACCTTCCTGGCGTTCAAATTGCAATTGTCCGGGAGAGACGCCGCCGAGGACTCGGCCCACAATTCCGAGTCCGAGTCTCTGTTATCGCCGGGCGATATAAGGTCGCCGCTTGTGTTGTGATAACCGTAAGATTCGCGCACCGGGCAACCTGTATTACGATACAGCGTCGCGCTGTCCCATCTTGCTGTAAATTTCACACAAGGTAGAATATCTTGCTGTAAATTTCACACAACATCGAATAAGGTATGGTAAAGTTACCAGTTGCAGCGCTAGTACTGGGCATCCACGGGGCCGAATAAGTTGGCTTGGCACTTTGCTCTACCGTACATTGATTACTCATACATTGCTGCAAAGTATGTTGCGCAGGCTGTTTCGAGCTCTGCGGCATCGCTACCAATCCTTGCCTAGAGACGACTTTTCCGCTACTCAGATCATTCAGCACCGGGTCTTGCTCTATGTTATCTAGTGCTATATTCTGTATATCTTCGTTTATCGAGGCCAGATCACTGTCTCCGGTGTCCTGCGAGGAAGGAAGGAAGGAAGGGTTGACATGTCCAGCTCCAACTGACAACGTGGCAAATGAGTCTCACCAGTTCGCAGGAAGGCCCGGGATCAAAGTCCATCTCCAGGAAATCCATCTCTGGACTCGACCTACCGCTGTGGTTCTGTCCCTCTGCCTCCTGATTCGCCGCGTGCTCCTGATTCAACTCTTGCTGCTGATCCGAATGGATCACCTCGTCGTTTCCTTTATAGGTGTAGATACAATAATCTTCTCCGTCGGACATATCTCCCTCGTTCCCGGAGCTGGAATCCATTCGTTCCATCTGTTCTCTCTGTGAAGTCTGTGAAGTCTGAAAGTTGAAGGAACAAACTAATAGCCAATTCGCGCTAGTTTGCGCCGAGTACACACACCGAGGTTTAACTTTGTCTTAACCTTGAAGCAGTATTTATATTTTAGCCAGTAATAAGAACCAGTATAAAGAAGAGTAAAGAAGCCTCGGCACGTACTCGGTGCACACGGGAGTATAAACATTCGAGACGATACGACACCCTCTGCAGTCCGCTGGGCCCAGCGGCTTCTCTGCTGCCGTTGATGTTAGGTTTGAGAAAACAACAGGTCCCCTGACTCGTCGAGCCTATGCTACCACCTATGTTATTCAGTACACGCTTGGATCCATACGACTTGGACGTCCAGGAACATTCGGCCTCCGGACTAGAATCTGAACTGCGAGAGACCTTGGAAGGGCATTTCTCTATGGCGGGCGCGTAATCCACATTATTCTTCATGTCCGCGTCGTCGTTGGGCTTGACCGCCTGAGCGGAAGGCAGATTCAAGTGCATCTGGGGCTTAGGCTTATGCTTCAATTGACAGTTGACAGCGTTGGGGTTCTGAGCCTTGATGCCGGCGAGCACGGAAGACACGCTCGCGTCCTGAGAGACGTTGTTGGGGGAGTTGGCACAGTCGGACACGGGCCTCGCCCCGTTGGCAAGCGCGAGCTTCACCTCACCCCCCTCGCCGCCGCCGTTGTTGTTGTTGTTGAGCCTCAGCCGAGCCTCCTCGCTCCCTTGGTCCACGGACTGATTGTCATTCTTCAGGCCGACGTCCACTTCCGTCCCCCTGCCCTCGGAGCTCATGTTGTCCACGACGGCGAGACCGGCGGCGACGGTGTTATACGGCATCCTACAAAGCAAAAGCACACGAGAGAACACCGAGGTTATTCACTCCCTCGCTCGACGCTCGCTTACCATGTGGCGAGATCGGGCGCAGGGGACTCCAACTTAAGGGAGACGCGCGATTGCGCTGCGCGGTTAAGCGGCAGGGATCCGCATCGTCCCGCAAGTCCCGTTCCGGCCGGAACTGCAAAGCTGCACGCGGCAAAAGTGCACGGGCGAACTTGCGACACAGAGAGACGCCGCCCCGCGCGTCCAAGAGAAACGAAAGGAGGAAACAGAGGGTCACTTCTTTGTCAGGCAAAATTGCCGAGGCAACTCGCTAACATTCCAATGTCTCGCGGTGGCACCGGAAGTCAGCTGATTGTCGGAAACGAGCGGTAGTAGCAAGACCAGTTGTGCCGCCTCTCGGCCACTCGCCTCGGCCACTCGTCGCCTTTCTTTTTCCTCCCTCTTCGTATTTGCTCACGCAACTGCCTCCAAGGCGGTACGCTAGTATTTCTCAATTATCGAAATGTCCTCTCGGTAAACTCGGTGCCGTTCCGGTTTCGATCGTCGGATCACGGCTCGTGGACAATCGAGCTTTCCGGCGAATGAGCGACGTAGAAAGATCGGCAATCCGATTGGTCGCTCCATGTTATACCTCCATTCACGCACACTTTCAGCGGGTATTCATAGTTCAAACCTTATCTTGAGTTTATTTTTACATGTTGTATCATAGTGTAACATGAGTTGGAATGAGAGGTAATCTATTTGTTTCATTTTAACTTGTTGCACTAGTTCAGTAGTGCGGTAATAAAGAACAGGCCTATAATTGCATAGAAAAATTCTGCGTATGCGTAGCACATGTCATTCGCTCATACTTGACGCCGACTGAACGTATTTTTAAATGACTCCTATATGCAATCGTTTGTATTCGTATGTCGACGTTTGTAGTGCAATTGGAAAGTTGTTAATAAGAAATTGTTATCATTGAACGTTGTTGTATTTTCCAACTTTTTATGACGGTTTCTTTTACATCTCGACAAACGCTGCAACGTTGC